AGAGTCCAGAGAAGAGCCACGCACATGATCAGAGGTCAGGAAAACAGACCTTACGACAACAGGCTGAGAGCTATGGGGCTCTTTAGCCTGGAAAAGCTCAGGCTCAGGGGCGATCTGATGGCCACCTATGAGTTTATCAGGGGTGACCACCAGTATCTGGGGGAACTTTTGTTCACCAGAGCACCCCAAGGGATGACAAGGTCAAATGGTTATAAACTACTACAAGACTGTTTCAGGCTGGACATAAGGAAGAATTTCTTTACTGTCCGAGTCCCCAAGGTCTGGAACAGCCTGCCATCGGAGGTGGTTCAAGCACCTACATTGAACACCTTCAGGAGCAAATTGGATGCTTATCTTGCTGGGATCCTATGACCCCAGCTGACTTCCTGCCCCTCAGGCGGGGGCTGGACTCAATCTTCCAAGGTCCCTTCCAGCCCTAATGTCTATGAAATCTATGAAATATTAGCCCTGCACCCTCCCTGAGTGCCTCTCTGATCCCCTTCCCCTGTCCAATCTACTGCTCTGGTTTCTGCTCTCTACACAATCTTTTCCTGTACTTTCTCCTTCTTGCCCTGTGCTCGCTGCCACATCTCCTCCTTCCTACCGTATCTACTGTTGTGCTGCTTCCTACCCTCTCTGATCTGTCATGTGCTACACAGAGAGGTTGCCCATGTAAGTTATGGAACTTGTGTCCAGGTTTGCCACCCATGGCTTAGTGAACTTGCAGGCAGTCGTCAATGGAGACTGAACTCAAGATCTTTGCTATACAAAGGCAAGCTCTGCCATTTGAACTAGTAACTCTCTTAGCTGGAAGTTGATAGGAGGTTTTTATAGTTGCTTGAACAAGCCATTAGAGGGAAACATTATCACCCTCACCAAGACAGCATATTACATTTGCACAAAGCTCCCTGGATTGGCCTTTCTGGGGAATCACAATATGAAATAAAGGATTCTGAGAAATGTGCTAGGAGCACCCAATTAGCCATACAGAAATAAGCAGCAATGTAAATACAGTCCACCCCAATGCTGTTAAACTGGTATGATGCAACAGCAATAATTAAGCAATAGGCTTCACCAAGCCATGATCTTCTGGAAAAGTTAAGCCTGTCTTGCTGGACCCAAATAAAAGAAAAGAGGCTAGGGACCCATTTTGTTAACACCCCAAGAACTGTCTTGGGATTCTTGGGAAATAGAAGATGTTTATGAGCCCATGGAAACAATCAGATTGTGTGTACTTATTGGTCTCTGTGCATGTGATGATACCAAAATTTGGGGTGAGGTGAGCACGCTAGTAGGGAGGGAAAGACTGCAACAAGACCTGGATAGGTTACAGGAGTAGGCTGACATAAACAGGATGCGTTT